GTCCTTAGAACAAAGAACTGGAAAGTAGCCAAACTATTTTTAGTTAATCCTTGGGAGAAAAGCTTTACCTTTGAAACCTTTTCCAGTCTCGGCTTTTAGGAAAATATTACATTTATCTGTGGATATCAGGGCTTCATGTATGCAATTAATAATAAACATAACTGAATACTAAGATGAAAAACAGTTTGCTAAGTGGCTAGAGTTTGTTCCTCAGAGCCTGTGGCCTGTACAGTCTGCAACACTTGGGCCCACAGAGCCTCGAACTCCTGACGGGGTCTGGATGGTCTGCAACAGGCAGTGACTTATTCTATTGTGCATATGGTTGCTATGAGTCTGAGCTAACTATAACACATAACAATATCTAAAAACAACAACCGCTATAACTTATTGTGTCCCTGGTCAGATTTGTCAGTAGTGTTAATTGGTAACCATCAAGTCCTTATATTGGTAATGCTTTATTACTTCTAACTAGGCATATAGTCATGAAATCCTCAATGTTAGAAGCAATGAAGTCATGGACATCATCCCAAAGATAAATCTATGTTCTCCTTTCTCCTTTTGATAAAATAAGCAAGAAAAAAGGAAATAACCATCTTCCTTGTAAAGTTTTGTTTAATTCTTCCAACTTTAACAATTCTCCAACCCTGGGATCATATAACTTTAGTTTATACTCCCAGTAGTCGCCTATTTATGGCACTGTAGAAAAGCACTAGACTGCTAACTACAAAGTGTACGAATCTGCCAGGCAGTTCAAACCTACCAGCCGTTACTCAGGAGAAAGATGAGGCTGTAAGTCCCTGTAAAGAGTTACAGTCTCAGAAGCCCTATATATGGTCATCGTGAGTCGGAATCCATTTGATGACAGTGGAATTTTTTGGTTTTGGTGTTATATGAATGCTTGTTTTCTGTCGTAGTCTGTAAACTAGTGTTTCATTCACTTTTGCATATTTTTAAGACCTAGCTAATTACCTCACTAACAGTAAAACTTCAATGAATGTGTTTAGATTGATTTGAGCTAATTCGGGAAATCAAGTCAATAGCACAAAATGAGAATTGCCAAATTATTTTTAAAACATTAATTTCCATAAAATGGCATTTTGCATAGGGGACATCCTGGTCAACTGGCATAACGTAGTCCACTAAGACAATGTTCTACATCCTACTTTTGTGAGGAATAAGCTAGAATCTTAAAAGCTCATGAGTGGTCATCTAAGGTGCAACTTGATCTCTCCATGAAGGAAGAGTGATGAAAACTGAAGATGCTTGGACTCACTTAGTGCAATGACTAATGGAACATGTGAACATCAGTCTCCCTGACACGGAGACCAGAAGTACTTTATGGTACCTGGCTACTGTAAGGACCAAACTGATTTTACCTGATTTTGCCTACCTAGAGACTGCTTGACTAAACTCTAGTCAGGCTCAGGAAAGCATTTTAAATAGACAAGGCCTCAGTTTTTAGTTCCCTCCAGAGACAAGGTCAATCTCCATTCTGTACATTAGCCTGAACACGTCCTCTAGCTCCAACAAAATGATATATGTATAAATAGCCAGGCAGCTCAAGGCCAGGGGCCAGATGTTTTCCTTTACCCTAGCCTAAGAACAAAGACCACCAGTCCTGACCAATTAAACTGTAACATCTTATAGTTTCCCAATTGTTAACCAATCCAAAGATTGTAAAGCTGAGAAATCTGAGCTGTTTGAAAACTCTATAAAAACCCTGCAGACAATGAATTCGGGGCTCTTTCCTTATTCCGAAATGTCGGATAAGGTTAGAGACCTGGTTTGAGCTTGATTAAACAACCCTTATGTATTTGCATCGGTACGGCTCCTGGGTGGTCTTTGGGGACCCTGAATTCTGGGCATAACACTACCACTGCCAATTATTCTGAAATGGATTATATTGCAAGGTCCTGGATAGAATGCAAGAAAATGTGGAACAAAACTCAAAATTATTAAAGAAAGACTGGGTTTAGTGGTCAGAAAGGGCTGGAGGAACCTCAGACTATGGTCTTGAATTAAACTCACCCTCATGATTCAATTTTCAGGCAAGTGGTAGTATATAGGGGGATAACAACACTAACAATGCTTGTTCACCATGAGATAGTCAATCATTCATGATCAAAAGGCCACATTAATCCTAAAAACGAGGTTCAGAAGGAATGGAAATAAGACTCACAGGGAGAAAGTGGGATAACTGATGTTATATGGAGGGGATTGCAATCATTCAAATGAAACAAAGTGTCTGATTTATTGAATGTAGAGTTGATCTACTTCATAAACCTTCACTGAATTTACAATAAAAAGATTTTTAGAATGGTTTTTGAAAAATAGGGATGGGTTCATTTGGTTTTAACTCCTGTTTCATTAACCTGGTTCTTTCCTTTTCTGACCATCTGCATTACCTTCAACTGTAAACATGGAATGAATGGGTCTGAGGTTGGGATGACTGCTGAGAAGTTAGTATGAACTTGTCTGTGTTGAGAAGTCTTGGTGTGGTTATGCAGGATGAACACTGAACTGCAAGGTCTATGGTTTAAATTTACCGGCAGCTCCTTGGAATCCTATATAGGTGTCTTGTTGATGGCTTCAGTCCACTAGGGGGCACTCTTGGGTTTTAAAAAAATGACCAATTTTTCAGTGGGTTGAATAGATACCAGAACGGATCACAGAAAAGTGTGAATGGTGTTTATAAGAAGTTCACCCCAGGATCCAGTACTTCAAGACTATATAAAACCTCAGAAAGCTGCAGCTTGTATCTCCATAAATTGGTCACTGAATCCATTGTGACGATGATTTTTTGTGTAGAAATAAGGTATATGAAAAGTACAAGGCATTGTAAGCATGTAACCTCAATAAAAAACATCTTCATTACTTGTTTTAATTTTAAAGCATTTTTATTACTTACATTCTAGACATCTACTGACTAAAATATTATTCCAATACCTCTGATTTCCTCCTACCTTTTCCTGTATCTCCTTTGAGTCTAGAAGGAACAATAAAAAAAATAATAGAAGATGAAAAAAGGGAAAAAATAGAACAAGTAAAAGGAGAAGAAAACACTTAATCTGAGCCTGTCCTGGCCAGGATCAGCTGTCTGAACCTGCAAGGTGTCTGGGGAAAGGGCTATATAAGGTGAAGCTGTTGTTATGTGCTGTGGAGTTGGTTCCTACTCATAGCGACCCTATACAGGGTGTCCGAGGCTGTAAATCTTTACGGAAGCAGAAAGCCTCATCTTTCTCCCGTGGAACAGCTGGTAGTTTCGAACTGACTGCTGACTCTGAGGTAAGCAGTGCGATTCGTAACCACTATGCTACCAGAGCTTCTTATAAGACGAAGAGAAGAGGAGAAATGAAGTCATGGTGGGCATAATATACAGATCCTATTTTTCTTTCAACAACCAAAATATTGTTGGAAGCATTTTCCATACAGATGGTTACTATATGGCTTGGGTTTCTAGAACTCTCTTGATTTCAGGAAATTTACTTTTTCGGTATAAGTGCATGCTGTCAAATTTTATCAGCATTTTAATATAACTTTAATCAGAAATTTCACACAGCTCAAATTCTCTGTCAAACTATGTAAATTGGGGAATGAGGTCATTTTTCTCATTCTTAAACCTAATCCAGTTTTTCTTCGAAGAAGCACTATTCTGCTCCTCACCCTTTACCTTGTACCCCATAAACCTGTCCCACATAAATTATTTTCATAGTAGAAAAAAAAAAACCCTTCTATCTTCATACATTGGAAATAACATCTCCTCCTTCCCTGTACTGTTCATCTATAACTTGTGAGAGATTGCTGTGCATTCTCGCTGTGGGTTGAATTTCCTGTTAAGATAGATGACAGAGCTCAGATATGAATGGTGCTTAGTAAAGTTGGGGGAACTTACTAAGTGTAAGAGCATAATTTGTTCTGGACTCAAGGCTTGACAGCTTCCAGCGAAGGGGGTGAAGACACCTCAGCAACCAGACAAGGAGTCATGAAGAGGCAGCTGGAAGCTCTGTTGGGAATTCTGTGTGTTCAGGTTTGCTGTGAGTTGGGGGTGCTTAAGATGTGTTCCACAGTTGACGGTGGGAGGAATGCTGGGGAGAGCCCACTTACATCCTCATTTGTATTTCTCAAGATATTTCTGCAGCGTGAAAACGGCATCAATGATTCTCCAGTGAAATTAATGTTTGCTTTTCTCTTTCTAAGCAGGGGTGAGAGGAATAAAGGTGGAGCAGAGTCCTTCAGATTTGAGCCTCCAGGAGGGAACCAGCTCTACTCTGAGGTGCAATTATTCTAGTACCGTGGAAAATGTGCAGTGGTTCTGGCAGAAGCCTGGAGAAGGCCTCATCAGACTATTTTACATGACTTCTGGCATGAAGCAGAATGGAAGGTTACAATACACTATGAATTCTAAGGAACGCTATAGTACCTTAACGATCACAGCCTCTCAACTGGAAGACTCAGCCACCTATCTCTGTGCAGTGGAAGCACAGTGTTCCCAGGCAATCGGCAGTCTGCACACAAACTGCAGCTGCAGCCTTTTACATGGGGCAGGGATGTTTCCCCATAGGCAACTGTGCACAGTTTTTAAGTTTTTTGATTCATGATCTAACACTTTCACCATTGCTAAAATTACACCCTTCAGGACTGTCATTTCACTCTTTTGTATCTTTTTATTCCCAGAAATATCTTTGCAGCAAAAAAAGCTCTAATATGGAAACATTACAGGAACTGATAAATATGTCAGGATCTAATGCACTGTTAAAACAGAGACCTTGGCAGAAAGCATATAAACTTCATGTTAATTACTGTGATGAAAAAAGCTTGCAAAAATATATGCTGGTTAACAAGTAGAAAAAACAAAAAAAGTGAACTCAGGTTTTCAATTAACTGCAAATGATTCAATTTTCCAGGAGGAGGGAAGAGAGCATGGATTATATATATATAAAGAGATTAAAAAAAAAATCTGTGATCAAAAGTAAAAAGCAGGTTGCACTGCTTTTGGTAAAATGAGATCAGATTTTCCACAGCCTTCCCTTGGGTAATTATCTGGTTGTTGTTGCTGATTGCCATCGAGTCGGTTCCTACCCATAGCAACCCTGCATAGGGTTTCCGAGGAGCGGCTGGTGAGCTTGAACTGCAGACCTAGACCTTGCAGTTCAAACCACAACCCACAACGCCACACCAGGATTCCATTAGCTGCTTGGTGGTGGTGGTTCTGTGCCGTGGAGTCGGTTTCGACTCATAGCGACCCTGTACAGGGTTTCCGAGGCTGTAAATCTTTACGGGAGCAGAAAGCCTCATCTTTCTCCCACGGAACGGAACAGCTGGTAGGTAGTTTCGAACTGCTGACCTTGCGATTTGCAGCCCGATTCGCAACGGCTACGCTACCATAAATAACTAAAGGAAAGGGAATGCAGTGACTCAAAATGATAAGCAGTAGACTAAGAATCACAAAGTCGGTGGTTCGAGCCCACCAGCAGCTCTGTCAGACAACAATGAGGCTTTCTGCTCCTGCAAAGATTTAAAGCCTTAGAAAGTCTACACGGTTGCTAGGAGTCTGAACTAACACCACGGCATTTAACAATAGTAACAACCTAAGGAAATGTTTCTCTGTGGTCAAACCAGGATGTGGAAGTAATACACCCTAAAGGAGGGGGTTTTGACAAAGATACATTGGTGTGAAATGGCCTTACGAACTATTCCTTATATGATAAGGATACAGGAACACAATCTCAAGAAGAAACTTGGACAGCTGACTTGTTATCTAAGTTTCTCAGGCAGCCAAGAAAGTTACAGTAGGGCAAATAGTTTGTAAGAAAGAAGCTTGGGTGTTAATTCTTACCACTAGCTCCAGTCCCAATAAATAATCAGCCTAGGTATGTTTATGGTGTCCTGGTGTGGGCGCTTTGGGTTAATGCACTAGACTGCAAAGTTGGTTTGCACAGCAAAGTAGGCGCTTCAAGCTCACCAGTCGCTCCTTGGAAACCCTATACAGGGTTGCTGTGGGTTGGAACCGACTCAGTACACTCTTCAACAACAACAACAAACATTTTAATAACCTGCTTTAGAAAGTATACATGGTAAGCATGCTGTGACTATTATTGTACATGTGTGTAACTCACCTAAGCATATCTAGTCACTTGTATCCAATGTAAGCTTTTCCCTACCTGCATCTTTACCGATCCTTTTTGTGACCTTAGTCAAAGAGTAAATCAAAGATTTTATGGAATCTCTTTGTTTCTTGTTCTTGCCCTATATCTGTCCCGGTTTGTGACCTTCTCTCTGGAACTGCCATGTTTTCACTTATGTAAGCTGGTGCCGAATAAGTCCTCTGAATTTTCAGTTAAGGTCTGAGTGCTTTTCTCCCTATGACAATTTTTTTTCTATACTTGTATTCAAGTTTTTTACATTCATGGAACTCACAACAAGTATAATGAAAACACTGAAGTACACTGAGTGTCTAGTACTGTATCTAGCTTATTATATATGTTATCTCCTTGAGTCCTGATAATACTTTGTAAATAGGTATTTCCCATAGGAATTAACTGAGAATTGTAGAGCATAAATGGCATGCCTGAGGTAACATGATTACCAAGTTGGAGTTGGGATGGAATTACCAATCAGGAAGTCTAACATCAGAATTTACATACTTAACTATTCCTTCAGAATGACTAAGTGCAAATTATTTTTATTGATAAATTTGTACAATGTGTGCACATGAATCACTGGCAAAAATATCCACTTTAGTCATTTCCAAAAAACATGTTGTAGAGAAGATAGCATTGCATTTTTCATTCTGTGGCATTGAAATTCATTAGTTTTTTCTTTCACTATGAATGAATCTATTATCCATAATTTTGTAACATCATTCAAGGGAACAGAAAGCTTCCTTTACACAAGAAACTCGTGTAATCACAGACTAAGAGTTCTGATTATCAAACCCAAAGTTTCAACTTGTGTATGTGTCAGTTATAATGCAAACTGAATCTCGACTTTGTGGAGTGTTTTATGTTAACGTAAGAACAATGACTGGAATGGAGTTGTACCATCATATAGATTCTGACTCATAGACACGCTATAGGACAGAACAGAACTGCCCCATAGGCTTTCCAAGACTGAGAGCCTTCCTTTTTTTTTTTTTTTTTCTTTTCTCACTTTTTATTACGGTTTTGGTGAAAGTTTGCAAAGCAAATTAATTTTCCATTTAGCAGTTTATTCACATTTTGTTTCATGACATTGGTTTCAATTCCTTCAATGAAACAGCACTCTTCCTGCTTCTTCCTTGGGTTTCGCATTTCTATTTGTCCTTTCCCTCGCTTTCCTGCCTTCTGAGCTTTGTTTTTGTGCAAATGCTGCCCTTTTGAACTCATGTGGTTGACTGTACTGAGAAGTACATTCCTCCCTGATGTTATTATTCACTTTATAGGTTTGTCTAATATTTGGCTTAAAGTTGATTCCTGGGGGAGATTCAATTACAGACTACAGTCTCAGGGGTTCAAACAATCTGTATCAGATCAGTAAGTCTGGTATTTTTATGATTTTAAATTTTGTTCTACATTTCTTCTCTCCCTTTCTTTAAGACCATTTGTTGTTATCCTGATCAGTATGGTTGGTACTGATAGCTGGGCACCATCTAGTTCTTTTGGTCTCAGAGTAGTGGAGGCGGTGGTTCATGTGATCCATTAGTTCTTTAGACAAATTGAGTCTTTGATTTTCTTCACTTTCCTTTGCTCCAGATAAGGACATTCATGAGCTTTTAAGACTCTATTTGCTGTTCACCAAAGTAGGATGAAGAATATTGTCTTTGTAGACTATGTCATGTTTATTGACCTAGCTGTCCCTCAAGACATAAGTCTCCAAGCCCAATGACTCACTCCTTCAAGGTGTTTGATTATAGTTAAGAAGTTTTCAGAACATTACTCCCTGAATACTTTATAATATACTTGGGTGTATTTGTAGCAAATACACATATATATGTAGAAATCACCTATCTTAGGCTGTGTTCTCCAGAGAAGCAAAACCAGTGAAACTTATATGTTGTTGTTGTTAAGTACCGTGGCATCATTTCTGACTCATAGTGACCCTGCACAGGGATTCCAAGGCTGTAAATCTTTACAGGAGCAGAAAGCCTCATCTTTCTCC